AGCACAGGGAGATCTGCTCAGTAGTTTGTGACCACCTAAAGGGTGGGATATGGAGGGTGGGAGGGAGACGCAAGAGGGAGGAGATATGGGGATATATGTATATGTATAGCTGATTCACTTTGTTATAAAGCAGAAAGTAAAGCAATTATACTCCAATAAAGATGTTAAAAAAAAAAAAAAGAACAATTCTGAGCCTGCAATAGGCAGTTGGGGATACTTCACAATAATGTTAGAAGAAAAACTAACTGCTTCAATAAGTGGAGATGCAGGAAGTATTTTGTCTTTTTAAAGTCATAAAGTTAAAAAATACATTAAGCATTTCTTTCCTAAAAAATAAGATATTGTGGTAAGGAGAACATCTCCCACAAACATCCCATAATTTATTTGCAGGCGAGAGTAGGCAAGGGTGCAAGTAAGAGAACATTCCATTTTAGGCAAACTTTGCTTTATCTTCTTTTTTTTCTTATAAGTGGAGCCCAAATTTGAGCTGCACCCCCCCACCCCCCCAAAAAACCCTTATTTTTTCAAGATTAAAAAAATAACTTGGGGGCTTCCCTGGTGGCGCAGTGGTTGAGAGTCCGCCTGCTGATGCAGGGCATACGGGTTCGTGCCCCGGTCCGGGAAGATCCCACATGCCGCGGAGCTGCTGGGCCCGTGAGCCATGGCCGCTGAGCCTGCGCGTCCAGAGCCTGTACTCCGCAACGGGACAGGCCCGCATACCGCAAAAATAAACAAACAAACAAAACTTGGAAATTGGGGAATTAAAAGAGAGGAAGATGTTTAGGGAACTCCCCAAATGCCTGACCTAACAACATATGTAGCACACAGGATTTCATTCTGCAAGGCACACAACCAATAGCACATGCAAGCTGACGGGGTGAGAGATGTAAAGATTAGTCTAGATATTTCTTAGAGGCTTGCTGAGAAGACAGAAAGAATCACAGGCAAATCAACAAGGCTGAAAGGATCTAAAAGGGTGGGCAAGGCTGTGGGTAGGGGGTTTAGGAAGTACCACCGGTATACTGGTAAATCATTTAAAAACAAAATAAGTGTGAAATGTTGTCACTTGGGTGTGGGCCATCGGATGAGGAACAAAGGTATGTACTGAGCAGCCAGGCAGAGAAACAGGATTTTACAGGTCCATGTTCTGGGAGCAATTAGCGATGGAACAATCTCAGGTCTTAGTGAAGTGAGATACAGGATGGGGAGCTCACATTTGCCAGAAATGGTGGCTCCCTTTCATCAGCAAGAAGATGATAGGCTGATGAGAGTGATGATTGACAGCCTTAAATATGACTTGATTCCACCGTGGGATTATTTTCTCCGTTGATTGAAAACATTCACATTTCTTCACTTTCTGAGGGTTGTATTTAGAGATACAGGATTCTTTGAGATATCTTTGAGAATTAATGATCTAGTGTGACTCAAGGTCAAGCCTCATTATACTGTAATATAAAATAAAAGGGTAAACGTGATTAAACTTATGTGGGGCATAAGCTGAGGTTACCTTTTTGAAATAGGATCAGATTTTGACTTCTTATTTTTTCTTTTCTATTCCCTCTCATAAAAACTTACTTGAAAATGTATTATAATTTCTGGCTAATCAAATCTTAAACATATACCATATCAAATCTTTAGGAGACTCTAAATTACAGAGTAATTTTTTTTTTCTTGTAGAACTGAAACCGTGTTCTTTGACTAACTAATACCTCCTCTTTCCCCTGCTTCTCCCAGGTCCTCCCAATCACCATTCTACTCTCCGCTTCTATGCGTTGAACTATTTTAGATGCCTCCTATGAGTGGTATCATATAGTACTTGTCTTTCTGTGTCTGGATTATTTCACTTTCATAATGTCCTCCAGGTTCACCCATGTTGTCACAAATGGCAAAATTTCCTTCTTTTTAAAGGCTGAATAATGTCCCATTTACCACATCTTCTTTATCCACTCATGGACATTTAGACTGCTTTCCTGTCTTGGCTGTTATGAATAATGCTACAATGAACATGGAAGTGCAGATATCTCATTAACATCTTGATTTCATTCCTTTAGATATATAATCAGAAGAAGGATTGCTGGATCATATGGGAGTTTTATTTTTAATCTCTTGAGGAGCCTCCATACCGTTTTCTATAGTGGCTGCACCAATTTACATTCTCACCAATAGTGTACAGGTTTCCCTTTTCTCCACACCCTCGCGATACTTGTTGTCTCTTGACTTTTCGGTAATAGTTATTCTAACAGGTGTGAGGTGATATCTCAATGCGGCTTTGATTTGCATTTCCTAGATGATTAGTGATGTCAAGCTCCTCTTCATGTACTTGTTGGTCATTTGCATGCCTTCTGCTGAGAAATGTCTATTAAGTTCCTTTGCCCATTTTAAAATCAGGTTATTATTTATTTATTTAGTGCTGTGAATAGTATGAGTTTCTTATATATTTGGATATTAACACCTTATTAGATATATAGTTTGCAAATATTTGCTCCCATTCTGTAGGTTTCTTTTTCATTTTGTTGATTATTTCCTTTGCTGTGCAGAGGCTTTTTAGTTTAATGCAATCCCATTTGTCTATCTTTGCTCTTGGTGTCATATCCAAGAAATTATTACCAAGGCCGATGTCAAGGAGCTTCTTCCCTATGTTTTCTTCTAGGAGTTTTATGGTTTCAAGTCGTATATATACATCTTTAACTTATTTTGAGTTGATTTGTGTGTGTGTGTGTGTGTGTGTGTGTGTGTGTGGTATAAGACAAGTCCAATTTTATTCTTTTGCAAGTGAATGTCCTGTTTTTCCAGCACTATATGTTAAGAGACTATCCTTTTCCCATTGTGTATTTTTAGACCCTTGTTGAAAATCATCCATTGATCTCACATGTGTGGGTTTATTTCTGTGCTCTCTATTCTGTTCCATTGGTCTGTATGTCTGTTTTTATGCTAGTACCGTTTTGAGTACTATAACTTTGTAATACAGTTTGAAATCAGGAATTATAATGCCTCCAGCTTTGTTCTTCTTGCTCAAAATTGCTTTGGCTATTCAGCGTTTTTTTTGAAATTCCACATGAATTTTAGGATTCTTTTAAAGAAGTTCTCTAAAAATTGTCATTGAGATTTTGACAGGGATTGCACTGAATCTGTAGATTGCTTTGGGAACTATTGGCATTTTAACAATATTAATTCTTCCAACCCATGAACATGGATATCTTTCCATTTATTTGTGTCTGCTTTAATTTGTTTCATCAGTGTTTTGTAGTTTTCAGTATACAGACATTTCACCTTTTTGGTTAAGCTTATTCTTAAGCATCAGAGCAATCTTAAAATTTATACATGGATACTGAAGAAATATTTTATAATTCTAAATGATGACTATACATTGCACAAAAATCTTTTTTGGTGAATTTACATTTATAGTTACAGTAGGAAGACACTAAATTCGCAGCAGCATTCTCTATGATTTTATTATTATTTTAAAATGATCCCGCCAGCATTCTGCAGCTGTGCTTAAAAAAAAAAAAAAAATTGAAGGGGTGTAAAGTTTATTAACAACAACAAAAGATGGAACAGTAAACAGCTACTGAACATGGGATACTTCCTTATTTACAAGTTTCGCTGCAGAAGGCCTGTTTTAATCAGCATTTCAAATAATCAAAGGAGTACAATGTTCCATTTTCTCCTTTTCAGAAGAAATGGAATGAGCCCTCAGGCAGCCACCAGCTTGGGAGAGTTGGGGGTGCTGACTGTGTTGGAAGCATTAGGCAATCAGGCTAATTTCCTTATGCTACTTCTCAGGTTAGAGGGAGGAGGAGAAGCAGCAGCCAGATTCTCACTCACCCCTGGGCACTGGAGGAAACTGTGGCGCTTCCTAGGTGGAATGCTAAAAGCTAAAGTCAGCTCTTGGTATCGCCCTGGTCTTTGGCTCAGCATATTCCTTTGGGGTCCACATGTTCTCATTCAAACGGGGACATATGATTGATAACAGGAGGGACAGTTGAAGTAGGGACCATCCTGGGAAACCTGTAACTCACTTCTGAAGGTCCAGAAAATTCCTTACTTCCTTATTTTATTTATTTACAATATTCTACTCTTTATATGCAAGGGGGAAATTACACTAACCAGGTAATTTGTATTAATACTTCTATGGTTTCTCTTTGGAAGAATATGTGTGGTGTAGTCCACGAAAGGAAAATGTTAAAATCCAGGTATCACAGAAGAGTTTGTGTTCAAACCATCCTTATCTCTGGTGATGGATGGGAGGTTGGGGATGAGAAATAGAAAGGTGTCTGGATAAGGTGACAAAGGGACTCGTTATTGGTTCACACAGAGCACGTCTACTGAATAAGAGTATGAGCTCAGTCTCCATAGTCTGGATGCAAACTTTGTCTCTGTTACTATCATAACCTTTGCGTGTCTGTATTTCTAAATCCCTAAAGTGGGGTTAAGAATAGTTCTTGCCTCATTGCAATGTAAAAATCGTAGCGTGGTGCCTGATCCATAGTTAGTGCTCAGTAAGTTTCACCTATTATTAAAGCACTTAAAAGTTGACAAACATTTCGCCTACGGACCATTTTAATGGGGCAAGCATGGGCAGAGGCTACAGTTGCAGGGGACTCCGACTCTAAAGAGTGCAGCTGGAGACAAATGCATTTAGTACAACTCCTGCCAGGGAGAGTACTGCCAACGGATGGAGGGAGGTGACCTCTGCGTTCGTGCTTGAGGGGGTAAGGGGTACACAGGATGAGGCTCCACTCCTTCCAGGGCACGCACGATCCTGGACAGTTACTAAGTGGCTTTCCAAGCATTCAGCTGGTTCTCTAAATGAACGCCCAGTAAACATTTGCGCCAAAGTCTTAGCCTATCCTTAGCAACAGCACGTGGGTCAGGCCGTGCTCATAGAATAACAAATGCCGGTCTGTGCAGGCATCGTTCTCAGCGGTTGAAGAGCATCAACTCACTCAGAGGCATCACAGCCCTGGGAAGTAGGTGCCCTTCGCATCCCCTTTTTGTAGGAGCCTGCCCAAGGTCAGGCAGCCCGCGAGGGACGGGCACGATCCGAACCCGGCGGCCCACTGCCTGCGCCTGGCGCCCACTTCGCCGCAGAAGGGGCCCCGGGAAGCCGCGCCAGCAGCCGCACTGGAACGGAGAGCTGTGGGCAAGGGCGCGAGGGGTAGCCGGCCCCCCAGCCCCTGTATCCCCCGCGGAGTGCGGGTGGGGGACGCAGAGAGAAGCGGGAACGTTCCGGAACCCAGGTGCGCGGCCGGGGGCGGAGAGAGCCCCTGGTCCGGCCGAGATCCCGCACGGAGCAGCTCAGCCACGGAGCAGGCCCCTCACGCCGATAAGTCGCGGGGTAGGGGCGCGCGCACGGGCCAGACCGCACCGCAGCGCACGCGCACACGGGGGCGCAGGCTCGCCCGCCGCCCAGGATGAGACGGAAGGCATGGAAAGTTCCAGCTGGTTCGAGAACTGTACGTAGCAAGCGCGGCGGCAGCGGCGGCGGCAGGGTTGGAGGGGGCGTGCGGCTGGCGCTGGCGGTTCCCGGCCGAACCCACGGTGCCTCCCCCCGCGCAGCACCTGCGGGGCCAGGGTGGGGGGTCCGGCGGGGACCGCGGGCGGCGGGGAGCGCGGCTGTGGAGGGGGGCGGCGCAGCCGCCTTACAGAGGGGGCGTGGCTTGGCCTACGGGGGCGTGGCTCGCTGAGGGGGCGTGGCGCCCCGTCTGCGCAGCTGCCAGAGCCTTAAAGCCCGGGCTCGCTCGGCCGGAGTGTGCTTTCGCCGCCTTGGAGCCTTCCGGCCCAGCATCCTGTCCGGTCCGTGCGGTCCCCGCCCTCCTGCGTCCCGGGAGCCGGCTCGGTTCGGAGCCGAGAGCTGCGTGTTCGGGCATGCCCCGCTACGAGCTGGCTTTGATCCTGAAAGCCATGCAGCGGGTAAGTGACCTTCCCCTCAGAACCCGCCTTCCCGCGCGGGCGCCCTCGCAGCCGCTAGGCCGCCGCCCCCCGCCCTCCCCGCCCTCCCCGCGCGGCCGG